CCATTAATACCTAAAAATCGATTTTTATATTTTAAATAATCAATTAATACCTTAAAATTGATTTTTAGTTATTAAATAATCCATTAATACATTTAAATCGATTTTTATCATTAGAATAATCGATTTTTTTAATATACTGCCTTCGAACACTTATCTGCACAAATTTCTAATCGATTTTTAATCGATTTTCGGCCACTGTTCATCATCTTCTTCCTCTGGTCAATTTTTAACATTATCATTTTTAATTACCAAACTTCAATTAAATTATATAGGAATGTTCTCCAATGTTCACAGATCATTTTAGAGTCATTAATTCGTAGTTTTAACAACAATTTCAAGGTTTATGATTCTTGGTTCTTCAAACTTGTCAAACACAACTCAACCAAATTACCGTTTATGAACGTAGAAACGATCTATACGAACATTCTAGTTACTAGATATATCTACGGGCTTACCTCGAGCTTAAATGAAGGTTTTGGAAATTTTCCGGCAAAAGTTCCGGCGACGAATACTCCCAGACTGCTCTCCTTACTCTTATGAACACAATGGTATATATTTTTCATAATTTTCATAATTATTTTAAATATTTTTTCTGACATCATATTTTTGGGTGTTTGACTTTGACAGAGTCAAAATTGGTTTAATTGACCTTTCTCATAAAAGGTTCTCTTATTTAATTAATATCAATTATTCTCATGATTTATTTCAATAAATCATTACAAAGTTCACATCATAATTAATTTATTCATTTATTCTTGATTTGGGTCTGTACTCAGGTTCCCAATCAAGACCACACAAATAGTCCACATATTAGATTTATCTCTATGAGACTTATCCAGATTTTGATATTGGATGTCAAAACACATTTCGTATCGGCCCAAAGCCCAACAATAATTTATTTTAATCAAAACAAATTTGATTAATTGAATAATTATTTATTGACAATTCTATGGTATGTTTTGGGGCGTTGCAGTATTTATATTGTCAATCATAACCATGTACATTACAAAAATATAGGAGTTAAAATGTATATGTACAGTGTCACATTACTACAATGCGAACTCTTATTTAGAGAATAAAAATATAAAACTCATATTTTGGTACTTTCTCTACATTTTTTACTCTAATCTAGGGTGATTTATTTTTAAAAAATTGAATCTTGATAGAATCGTTTTTTACATTCCTTATTATATATTTAAGGAAATTGTATTTATTAGGGAAAAATATGAAATGCACTAAATCATAAAGTATTTCTTGTTAAAATTTCCTTTTTTAAATAGGTGATACACATTTTATTTTTAATATCATATGAATGTCTTTTGAAAAAAGTAACATCTCAAAAGTTGTAACTATAATTTTTTTATATAAATGGAGTAGTACGGACGCCCAAAAAAGGGTATAAATTAAAAGACTTAAGTAGGAGTAAAACATAGAAAATATATCAAAATAGAAGTTTCATATTTTTATTCCTAAATTAGGATTTAAAATGCGTATACAATGTCAATCATGCCAATATATAATACAAAAAAATATTGTGAAATGTTCATATGCAGTGCAACATTATCATAATACATACTCATATTTTTCGGATAAAACATAGAGCTTCTATTTCAGTACATTCTTTATATTTTACTTTTATTTAGCATGATTTCTATATAAATTAGTAGAATAAAGTATTTTAATTTTAAGGAAGTAATTTTTAAATTTTAATTAAAAAATCACTTTTAATTTTTAATAAAAGAAACTCTTGGAGATATGAATAAGTGAAATGAATTTAAAGGAAGTAATTTTTTTAATATCAAATACGAAGTATATTAGTTTAAGCTTATCAAATGTATAAATATCAAGTTTTAAAAGTTTCCATATATGAAGTCTTTATTTTAGGAATGATTTTAGATCCAATTAATGTGTACAGTCATCATTGACATGCCAAAAAAACTCCACATAGACATTCCACATGTCAAACTCTAGTGATCCGAGTCTGAAATATTATATTAAAGGATTGCATTGGGGATCATATAAATTTTTTTTGCCTTTTAACCTTCGTGGTATAAGCACGTATATGAAAAATGTTTAAACCTTTTATCAATTTATAGCTTAAAGGTCATCAATTTAATTGGCATCAATTTTTTACATCAATTTCATCAGTATTTTTTAAATTTTTAGTGTAGTCAAATTGTTAGTGAGTTTTATTTTTGCATTTTAATATTCATAAAATATGTGTTATATAATAAAAATGAATTATTTATCAATTTATAATTTTTTGTCTCTTAATATATGCAGTATATATATTATTTTTTTAAGAAATATTTAAAAATCGGGGTTACATTTTTTTTAGGAAAAAAATTGAATACCATTTATTCATCTCTTTCAAATAATTTTCACATACATATTTCTTTTTATTTTTCATATGAATTTAATGTTTGTTTATTTTTTTTAGAAACTCTAATTGCTGGTGGTTTTTTTCAAGAGTACAAAAGTATGTAAAAATTAATGTTAAGTTCTAAGATAATAATTTTTTTTGCATTTTTATATAAATAAGGCATGTCTTAATTTAAAAAAAGGCATTACGGGTCATGTATAACTTATTTGCCTTTACATATTCGTAATATTATCTTTAAGCACGTAAATATGAAATATTTTTCTATCTTTTAACAAAAAATAACGTATATACAGAGTAATTTTCAAATTCTATGTATATTTATAAATAAAGTGTGTATCATTTAAGAATATAATACATAATTTTTAACCAAGAATATAAAAAATAGTATTTAAGAAGATTTTTTTATCGTAAAGCATTTGTAAAAATTAATACTATAAATTCTTCTGGCCCATTTCATAAGAGAAGAAATGGAGAAAATATGATCTTGCACGAAAAATTAAAGGTCATCCCTCAAAAAAATTATAGCCTTAAAGGTAATGCATAAAAAAATCCATAGAAATCATTGATGACTCAATGATGACATGGTTCTTGAAGTGTTTAAAAAATGTCCACTCAGCCTGCCAAATGTGGTCATTCTAGAAACTCAACTCTAAAATTTAATATATAAAGATTAGGCCACTAGGCCATATGTTTTTTTAAATGAGTATGGTCATTGGCCCAAGTTTTGAAAAACAAAACATTTCATACAATCTATTGACTAAAAATTGGGGCAATAATATTTTTTCGAAACTAATTTATATTCCATTCAAATTTTTTGTAAATAGTATTTACTCCAAAAGAGAAATGTGTAAATTAAAATTCATTAAATATAAAATTTGTTTCAATCGATTACAATTAAAAATTAAAACACTTTTACACTAACCCAAAAATTTGTTATAGTTGATCTAATATTTCCTTACGTTTGTAAATTTAAGACATCAGTCGCATAAGAAAAAACTTTTTTGTAATGTTCGGACAGGTATGACACACTAATTTCCTTTTCCCTATTTTACTTCAACATTTGCATACATAGAATTTAATTAATGCTTTAAAATTATTTTTCAATGCATATGCAATTGTTTATACCATTGAGTTTCAGAAGCGAGGATTACCGCATGTGCATATATTATTATTCATGGGCCAACAAAACAAATGTCCAACCCTCAAGACATTGACAAACTTATTTCTGCTGAGCTCCTTGATAAAGATTTGGATTCTAAATATTTTTAAGCAGTATATGATTTTATGCTTCATGGACCTTGCATACCGTTTGCACCATACGCCCCTTCCATTGTATGGACAATGGTAGATGCACCAGACATTTTCTAAAAGAAATCAATACTGATACTATCATTGATGAAGATGGATATGCAAGGTACAAAAGACGTAATGATGAACGAACGCTTGAAAAGAACGACGTTATTTTGGAAAATCGTTTTGTCATACCACATAATAGGTACTTACTGATGAAATATGGTGCACATTTGAATGTGAATTGGTGTAACCAAACACTTTTCATAAAGTATTTGTTTAAGTATATCAACAAAGGTCATGATCGAGTCACTGATGTATGTATGAAAACTCAAACAATTCTACTAATTTGGCAATAGATGAGATAAACAAAATCAAATTCTACTATGATTGTAGGTATATTTGTCCATGTAAAGCTATGTGGAGAATCTTTGGATATGAGATGCAGTATAAAAATCCAAATATCGAACGCTTGAGCTTTCACTTGCTGGATGAAGAAATGATATTTTTTGAAGACGATGATAATACCTCTGAAGTCATCCGGCGATGATAGAGAATATCTGGACGCATTTGTGGAGGCAAGTTATGGGCTTCTGCTGGGCAGCTAAGAAATTTATTTGTAACACTGTTGACAACGGAATCAATGTCGAGACCAAGGCATGTTTGGGAGCAATGTTGGCAATATATGGGGGATGATGTTATGTACCGTCAATGTCGCCTGTTGGATCATGAAGGTATTTTTTCCCTAATAATATAATATTTTTTAAAAATTCATTATGACTAAAGTTTATAAATTTTAATTAGTTCTAATGCTTACGGATGATGAGATTTGAAATCAAATCCTATGTGATCTCGAAGAGTTGCTGAGAGGTCGTGGGAAGAGAGCATTCACGATTACACGATTCTACGTGGAATACATATCCCCCGGACTGTATTTCTTATTTATTGAGATGATATTGAAATTTGACTTTCTTCTCAAAAAAAAAGGAAGATACTAAGTTAAAACTTAAAATTGGATTAAATATAAAATTCTGGTGCATAAATGTGGATGGTGTGGCTAACGAATTGATTTTACAATTACAATCATACCCTTACTCCTAAAATACTCCTAACTTAATAGAGCACGATTATTCCTTACCATTTTCATAACCTCCCATGTGCCTAAATTTCTTTTAACTTCAACCGTAGGATTGCTCAAATTAAGGGCTCAAATCTATTCTCATTATATATATATATATATATATATATATATATATATATATATATATATATATATATATATATATATATATATATATATATATATATATATATGATTGGAAGAGATAAATATCTGCAATATTTATTACGCACACCACCGAAGGAAATAAACCACAATAATGAAAAGATGGAAATCTCAAATGGGCATGCTGCGGAGAACTACAGTTTCAATAGTGAGACCGGGCCCAAATGATAAAAGGACTCCGAACTCAAGCCCATCACCAGTAGTCTTAAGCCCATCTCGAATGGACTTCTTTCGGACCTCGTCCAAAATGAACATCACACAAGCACTGGACAAGTTCCCGTAGTCACGCAGAATGTTCCGCGAGGCCCGTAGCTTATCGGGCTCAAGGCCCAATTTGCTCTCCACTTGATCCACAATTGCACTCCCACCAGGATGAAGAGCCCAAAAGAGTGAGTTCCAATCTGATATTCCAAGCCCATCAAAGGCCCGAATCAAACAGCTCTCGGCGTTTTTAGCTATTGTGGACGGCACAAATTTGGTCCCGTGGAAAGAAAGGCCCGATTCACGCAGGTGCAATGCAAGGTGATAGTCCCCATTGGGCACAAAGGTTTGGGCCGCAGAGAAGATCTCAAATATGGGCTTTTCAATATTTGGCTTGGGGTCCGAGCCGATTATCAACGCCGCTGCCCCATCGCCAAATAACGATTGAGCCACGAGGTTATCGATGTGATCTGGGCTTGGCCCACGAAACCCGATTGCCGAGCTCTCAGTGCAAACTGCAAGGAGAATAAATACATTTTAACACCAAAGTTTGACTCATGTGCTGTACAGATTGTGTTGCACAAATAATGATTGTCTATATATTGTTTAAAAATATATATAGTGTCAAACTTTGGTGTTACTGTAACATGATACCTGCGAGAATACGAGAGTCTTTATTATTCTCGGCGATGTCCTTGGCGAGGCGAAGCACGGTGCCACCGGCGAAGCAACCTTGTTGGTACATCATGAACCGTTGAGTTGTTGGGCTGAGGCCCAAAAGCTTGATGAGTTGATAATCTGCGCCGGGCATGTCCAGCCCACTTCTAGTACAGAAGATTAGATGGGTGATCTTAGTTCTGGACTCACCCCACTCTACTATAGCATTCAAGGCTGCTTCTTTTCCCAGTTTTGGAATCTCTGAGATCAAGATGTCTTGCCTAATGTTTAAAGATGGTTCACTAAATGTACACAAATTTGGATTCTCCTTTAAGATTTCTTCGGTTAATAACATATGTCTTTTCTTAATCATAGTTCTCCCACCTGAATGAATGTTTCCACCAAGATAAAATATGGGCATACATTATAAGAATGAAATACTAATATATGAATGTCATACTCCTTCGTGATGTAAGAATTATTTTGGTTTCTTTAACACTATGTTTCGTTAAATTTGGAATGAAAAGAAAAGAAAATGATTTTCTCTCATTTTTCTTTAACACTTAGTACATTTGTCTTCTCATTTTCTTTTCCTTTCACTTTTCCTCTCCAACCAAACAAGAAAAATTGTTTTACACTTAATTTTCTTTTCTTTTCCCTTTCAAATTCCTTGAATCAAACATGGTGTAAAAGTGAAACTGGCATCGACGCTTTTTGAGTTGATAATGCTTTTCGCAAAAAAATAATACTTTCTCCGTCCTAAAACATTCTTCTCTGTTCGGTTTTACGATATTTGATTGAAATTATTTTTAATTCAACTTATTTGATTTTAGGTATAAATAAAAAAAATATAGCTAAAAACTAAATCAAAAGTTCTACAAAACAAAAGATGACATGGCTATAGTCTTTTATCAAATAAATAATGAAAATAGGTAAAGAGCGTGATTAAAGTTTGATCATGTGAATATAGTGACTAAAAAGAAAATCTTGAGATATATTTATTTGATTGTAGATATAAATTTAAAAATAAAAATTTTTATATTTAAGAATTACATCAGAAGTTCTACAAAACAAAAGATGTCATGACTATATTATTTTATTAAATAAATAATGAAAATAGATAAAGAAAGTGATTAAAGTCTTCTGATTATATGAGTAGTGAGTAAAGATAAAGTTGTTTTAAGTGGGAGAGATTGATAAAGAGAAATAGAGTGGAAAGGGACTCACAAATGCGCCTAAATTTGTCCTTGAGATCCTCCAAGTGTTCACTATTTGTGACCCGAAAATAGAAGTCCGGGTACTCACTCTGATCAACCCAATGAGAGGGGGTGGCTGTCCCAATGGCCAATATATTTGCAGGACCATCTGCCCTTTGAACCCTCCATGTCCCTCCACCATTTTTCTCAATCTTCATTTATAAAAATAAAATAAAATAAAATAAAAATTGTTCTTATGAATCTCTCTAGTCTGGGTTTTCACCAATTCAAAAATCTACAAATTATTTAGTTAATTTTAGGCTGAATTATATTGAATCTTCAACAATCTTTGCAGGCATTTATATATGCACATATAGACACACACAGCAGAGGGTTATTGCTCACTGTTTTGCTCCATGCTGCTTGCATTTATATACTCTGTTTTGCCCCATATTGGCCAAGCAATGACTTCCCTTGATTTGTCTTCGAGATGATAAAAAGACTTTTTCTTTGGGATCAATTTTAAAATGTTATCTTTAGAATTCATTATGAACTGCAATCATATCGGCCAACATGGCCACTTCCCTTCTAAAATAATGGTTCTTTTTTTGTTGAGAGGTTCCAAAATAGACTTCTCATTTTTTTAAGAGTAATGCTAGGGGTACACCAAAAGGTGTATCCCAAACGTACACCACCCCTTCTCCACCAGACATTTTTATTTGATTTTTTGTTTACTTATTTGTTTTAATTTTTTTTGCCTTTTTAGTGGACAAGGAGGGGTGGAGAATATATGGGGTACACCTTTATTTCTTTTTTGGAAAATGCTAGGGGTACACCAAAAGTGTACCCCAAACATCCCACACCCCTCCATCACCACACAAAAAACCCAAGAAATTTTCAAAAAAATTTAAAAATAAAAACAAAATAAAATGAATGGTTAGTAGGAGGGTGATGTACATTTGGGGTACACTTTTTGGTGTACCCCTAGCATATCCCTTCTTTTTTTTATTTGAATGGTTTATGTTATTTTATTCACTTCTGCATAAATCGCAAACGCATTATTTATTTATTTGTTACTTCCTTTGTTTTTGAAAATGAGGGGGGTCCCATGACATTGGTTCCCAATGTCATGAGAACCAAGGTGTTCTGAAATAGTTCTATTTTTGACCAAGTGGTAAAAATAAAAAAGTGTTAAATTGTAGTTGACTTTCAATTTTGCCCTTGATGTGATGGGTAAGTAAGATGCGATGAATAGATTATTAGAGAGAAAGTATGATGTGATAGGTATGGTAAGAAAAAGTAGGGATAAAAAGGTTTTTTCAAAGAAAATGAAAATGTTTTGTTGGAAGTGATAAAAATGAAAGAGGAAGTATTATGTTAGAACGAACGGAGGGAGTATGTTTTTCAAACTTTGTAAAAAAGCAAAACAAAAATCTTATTTTGAATAAACTCTATGAAAAAAAGAAACAGAAAATGCAACGCTCTTTTTTTGAGAAGGAAAACCAATTCTTAATTTATTTTGAATAAATCAAAAAGGAAAAGTAAAATATATTTTTTGTGCGGCAACTAAGTGGGTTTTATGTACTTAAAATTGTTTATACACTTTAATTTATAAGTAAGTTGGTAACATGTTTCTCTGTGGTTATAGGTTAATTTATAAGTTTTTTATAAGTCAAAAAAATAAATGGGCTTCACCTACTTATTTTTAAACTAGTTTCTTTCTCTATTTTGATCAGATTATTTACAAAAATGTTAATCTTCATTTATGAATATTTCCAAATAACTTATCTAGTCATTTTACTTCCCTAAAAGGCTATTTAAGGGATGGTTTGTTAGCTTTCCGTAGATGGATAAGCCTATAAGGTTTATGGTTTATTATACATTCGTCCTATGTTCATTTAATACATATGGAGTACAAAATTTAGTATTAATGTCATTTCATATTCTTATTTTTTTTGCATATACCTAAATAGATGTACATTGTGAAATTAATACATATATGTAGTACAAAATTAGTAATTGCAAGCATCTAAACTTCTCCTTTAGCTTGAGTGGTGTAAAGTCCACTCTCTAGATAGAATTCATGGAAAAGTTTACCCAGGTTCAAGTCTCGGAGAAGTAGAGGCATTGGCTCTTTGTACGTCATTAGGATATGAATAATATGAACAGATAGTACATTGTAATAAAGTCAATAGCACTCAAAATAAGAATTACACATCTCATTTCTTTGCAAACAAATGGTATGAATAGATATTGATGTAAAATAATTTTATTCGATTTATCTTGTAAAATATTTTCAAAAAATTTCTATATCTAATACGTAAACACTACGCACCATAAATAAGATTATTATTATTAGTATTCTTATTGTCTAACAATGAGTACTAAATAAATCTCTAACTGCCATATTGATCACAGACTAATATGTAAACAATACCATAAATAATACTCCGTCCCCCTAAGATGTTCTCATTTTGACTTTTGCTGGTTTTTAAGGAGAGTTGAAAAAAGGTGAAAGTTTACCATAATACCCTTAATGAAAAATGGGTGGAGTGTATTAAATGAGGTGGGTGAGATGTAATAAATAAAGTAAGTGGGGGTAATTGTGGTATTTTAATTGTTAAAAAATGAAATGAGAAGATCTATTGTGGACAAAGAAAAAGGACTATTGGGAAGATCTATGGGGAACGGAGAGAGTAATAATAATAATAATAATATCACTGATATTATTCTTATTATTATCACTATTATTATTCTTATTATTATTATTACTATGATTATTATTATTAGAATTGTCTAAGACTATACATACACTTTTGATCCTTTAAGTATAGCCTTTAGAAATATAGTTGTCTTCTTATTCTATTTTGGATGATTTTATTTCTAGGTGTTTCATTTCCATCATCTCCGATGGAGTAATCACTATCTTTTGGCTTTGAGTGTGATGGAATAAACAAAATCGATCTCTAAACTATCTGCGCTTCGTTAATTAACGAAGTATCAATTAATCAATTAATGCAATTTTTGATGCTGAGTCGATCATCAGCGGGAGGATTTTTTGAATACAGCCTCTCTATTTTCAAGTACGGATAAGATCTGCGTACACACTCTCACCAAACCCTAATCTTTTATGATTCAATGGGGGTGTTGGTGCCTTGGTGGTGGTGGTGTTTCAGAGATTTGAATTTCAACATCCATTTATGCCATAAGAAATGCACGGATTCTATCTTGTCTTCGGAACAACATGGGCTTCAACCTATTTCAAATTCATATTTACTCTTGGGCATGCAAACCCGTCCCACATCGGTGAGAAAGAACAAAGTAAAGAGAGTCAAAATAAAAAGGTTTAATTCAACTCATAAGTAGTGGCGAATAGGGTTGTAAACGAACCGAACCAAACTGAACCGAATCGAATATTCATGAAAAATATTCATATTCGTTAAGATGGAGTGATATTCGAATTCAAATTCGGTTCGAATATTTTTTAAGATTCGTATTCGGTTCGTTTAATATATTAAACATATTCAGTTCGTTTAAATATTCAATTCGTTTAAATATATTCGGTTCGTTTAAAAATATTCAGTTCATTTAGATTTTAAAATATTTTAAAAATATATTTGGTTCGTATAACCATTCAGTTCACACACACACACACACACACACAAATATAGGGGGCGGTTCAGGTGAGAATGCACCTTGGTGAAAGAAATAAGAATAAAATCTAGCCTTTAGATTTGATGCATCGTGCGGCTCACATTGCATCCTGCACTCAGATTTTGAGATTATGCATTTTCAAGGGATTATGGTGCATTTCTACATAATGCATTTTCAAACCATTTTTGTGCATCTAATTTTGATGCAATCATAACCCTTAGATCTCACAATCTAATGCACCAGATTCATTCTTATTTCTTTCATAAGATCGCATTCTCACCTGAACCAAAATCTATATATATATATATATATATATATATATATATATATATATATATATATATATATATATATATATATATATATATATATATATATATAATTAGATTTATATTCTGAATATATTTGTCAAACTCACGAATCGAATACCCTTGATTCATATTCATATTCGATAAGGATTCGAATATTTATTCAGATTCGTATTCGCATTCGGATTTGAAAAAATCGAATACGAATCACCTTAAACGAATACGAATCACGAATCGAACAAAAAATATTCGATTCATTTACATCCCTAGTGGTGAAGCCAAGAGCACGTTAGTACTGGGGCACACTACAGAGGCCCGATGGTAGCGTACCCAATTTTATCTCAAACAAACATTCAAATAATTAATTATCAATTCGAAAAAATGATGAACTTTATCTCAAAGGAGCGTTAAAAAATACGGAGTACAATTTATTCATCTAAGTTCTTAATTTAAGCATAAACCTCATTTTAATTACATACTCCATACAAAAGTACAAAACAAAGTAATTGAATACCAAAGTATTAACCGTTGTCGGGCATTTCACACCGGCGTTAATTACCCGCCCCTCACGCCCTTCATCCCATGCCTATAGGGAAAAGGATTTACTCAAAAATTGACAATTTTTTGAGAATGTAGAATGGATGTTAGATCTATATATAGAGATTATAGGGAGGGAGAATATTTGAGAATTTCTCTCTGCACACACACATGCATATGTATATTCTCATTGTTCCAGTGTATTTTTTTAGCTTTTTTGAGTCAAACTAAATGAATTTTAATTACCAATAATTACTCTCAATTTATATTACATATTAATTTAAAGAAATAAAGTTTTGAAAGTTTTCGACAAGTTACATTTAGTAAATGTTCAAAGTTCGTCCAGTTTGAATCCAAAAAAGTCAAACTGGACGAATACGAGACAAATGTTAGAAAGAACTTCCTGAGAATGTTTGTATAAATTTTCAAAGAGCATGGTCAACCTATACAACAAGAGCTATTTGCGTAAATCAACGCGTATGTCTCCCACAAAGCTAGACATGGGTTCCTCGGAATGCATCGATTGTATGCATAGGGTAATTGATTGTATGTATAGGGCATGGCGTAATTGCCTGGCGCGTTCAATTCACACTCGATGATCACATATATCCAACAGTCATGCAAGAAGGTATGGCCTCACAAGATTTTTGAGTTTGACATGCATTCTTTGGTATTGCAGGATCGAGTAACGACTTAAACATTTTAATCATTCAAATGTTTTCATCAACATTGTACAGGGTATCATACATGATTCTTCGTTTATGATTTTTGGTGTGGAGTACAAGCACATGTATTATTTTACTGATGGTGCATACCCTGAGTATGCAGTTATAG